GGTGTCTTCCTGTGCAACTTGACACAGCTAGGCTTTGACGGCAGGCCTCCACAAGGTCTACCCTTTTGATTCCCTTTAACTGAATTCTGTTCATCAATTGTTTTTTTTTTGGTTTGTTTTTTTTTGGTTTGTTTTTTTTTTGTTTGTTTTTTTTTTTTTTTTTGGAGTTTTTGCTGTTGCCTGTCCCTCATCTTCATAACTGGGCAGTGAATTAGAGAGTTAGGAATAAGCAAAGCAAGAGCAAAGTGTTGTTGATAAAATTGTTTTAACCTGTTTTTAATCAGTTGATTAAAAATCCCGTAGTTCAAGTGGCAGAACTTTGTAAAATAGGTGTCAGCGACTTTTTTGGGGGGCTTGTGTGTCTTCACTGTCAGGGTAAGAGAAATAATTAGACCCATCAAATCAACTGAAGCTTAAACTAAAAAAAACCTTGCAGGATGTTCAGGCAGGTTGATGAAACCCTTCCAGTGGTATGGGAAGAAGGATGTGCAGGTGAAAGTTGTGCTGTTGCAGCACTTGATGAAAAACCTGATAGGTCAAGTGGCAGAACTGTGGAATTGGTGTCAGTGACTTTTGGGGGGCTAATTATCAGGGAAATACAAAAATTTAGTCAAATGAAGCTTAAAAACAAAGTAAGAAAACCCCAGAAGGCCCTTTGCAGGATGCTCAGGCAGAATGAAGAAGCCCTTCCAACGGTAGGGCAAGAAGGATGTGCCAGGTGAAGTTTGTACTGTTGGAGTAGTTGATTAAAAATCTGATAGTTCAAATGCCAGAACTGTGGAATTGGTGTCAGTGATTTTTGGGGGGATTAGTGTCTCTAATTATCAGGGAAGTATAAAAAAATTAAAACCATCAAGTCAAATGTAGCTTAAAAACCAAGTGAAAAACCCCAAAGGCCCCTTGCAGGATGTTCAGGCAGGCTGATGAAGTTTTGGAATTGGTGTCAGTGGCTTTTTTGGGCTTGGTGTATCTTAATTGTCAGGGAAATAGAAAAAATTAGAACCACCAAGTCAAATGAAGTTTAAAAACAAAGTAAAAAAACCCTTCAGGATGTTCAGGCAGAACCTTCCAACGTGGTATGGCAAGAAGGATGTGCAGGTGAAGGTTGTATGCAAAGATTTTATTTATTCCTGCTGCTGTTCAGTTTTATTTGTGAGTACAAGGAAAAATGAGTATTTTTAGGAGTGAGGAAGAGGTGAACAGGACGCTGCAGAGGGCACAGCTGAAGTCACACCTGTAGAAAAGGAGTAGAAACCTCTACAGCATGAACCTGGTTCAGAGTTTAAGGTCCATGAATCCAAATGAGATATTTGAGCAGATAATGAGGGATAGGTGTGGCAAATTGCTGGAGGTGTCTGTCCTTTTCTTGACTCCAGGAAGTACCAGCTGGGGAAAAAAAAAATAGGACTTAAAGGTGAGGTCTGTCCTTAGTTTGTCCTCAGGCTTTTCATTTAACTTTGGTCACCTGGTGCTTTTGTAGAGTTAAACTAGACTTGCCATTCTGGTTAATGGATATTAAGCTAATAATAAGCTGGTTATTAAGCTAAATAAGTTCACTTATGGAAAGAATTTTGAAAGCAAAATTAGCATTTTTTGTTAACTGTCACCTGAAAGAAATATTAATGTGTTCCTATAGACTGTAGACATTTAACTAGGGTTCAGATCTGCCTCAGGAAAGTTAGCACTGTCTGATGTAAATATTCATCCTGTCAGCACTGTTAGGGGCTTTTGTAAGTATATTTTGTATTGTGAGCCTGGATCAGTTGCAGATGTGTCTAAAAATTTACAGCAGGGGCTGAAATCACTTCCTGGGAAGCATTTAGCTTAACAATGCTTTTTGCATGAAAATTCCCAGGATTTCATTTAGCTTTTCTGTCAGATAAGTCAATTTGCAGGTTAAAAATCTAGCTGATAAACTTTTGCTGCTGGCCATGGAGGGAAAAAAAATTACCCTGCCAACTTTCTGTAATCCATGTTTTGGTTTTTTGTTGTTTTTTTTTTTTTCTTGGTGCCCAAGATTTTGGAAGGTGACAGAATAGTTTACAGATGCAGGGATGTGCACGTGGAATCTCCTGGGCAGTGGGGTCAGGCAGAGAAGCAAAGGGCTGTAGGTTATGTCAAGATGAGAACAGCAAAAATGCCATTTTAATGCAATGTAGGTTGGGACAGTCTACATTGTGTTTTTTGTAATGAAACCCAAGTTTCCATGATCCCTTTGGTGGAAATGCTACTGATCCTACTTTGTGTAACAACTAACCATTTTAAAGAGGAACTCTTATTCTCAGCCAAACTTTGAACTGTGAAAACTCGAGTTTACCTTTCAGGCATTTGATGTGATGTGTTTTTTTGGGTTTTTTTTGGTTTGTTTGTTTTTTTTTTCTTCCTAATCCACTGCAGATAAAGTGAAGGGGAAACTCCTCGTCCCCTTTTCTCTCCTGCCCATTCATGCTAATGGGGTTTTGCTAATTAAAGTTCTTTGATATCATCACAAACTCCTTTCCCTGTTACTGTGAGTTGGCAGTAGGGACAAATGGGCAGAGGGAAATGGCCTTTTTACTGATTTCTGGGCAAACATAACGGGTTCCATAGGAAGGAATTCCTGAAAGGTAAAATGATTTCCAAGAGCTTATTCACATTTTTTTTTTAAATTGTTCTTTGACTGAGCACAAAAGTTCATCTTTAAATAGTAGAAAATAGCTGCCATATTGGGGTGGGTATTGAAATAAAATAAACCTGTGGGTTGTCTTGCTGTTCCTAAAGTAACACACCAGTGAAGTTTGGGAAATACTTTTCTTTAGGAAGTGCCAGTGTCAGGACATGTGATGCTAAGGCAAGATTTCTTTTTTTCCAGCTCTTAGAGGAACAATAGGAAGCTTGAGACACCATCCAAGCTGCTAAATATTTTAGGAGCCTGGTTGTGTTAATACTCAGACATAGGAGCAGTCATTTATGATGCAAATTCATATCTGGCTGCTGCTTCTCCAGATACCCAAAATTGTATCTGCCAGAGGGCTTGTCATTATTGGTTTTCCCCCCTCCTGGTGTGAGCATGATCAAACAGCAGGACATAGTATAGCCAAGAATAAACCAAGAAAATACAATGCATGAAACCTCAGTAAATGGGTGAATAGACGTATATTTTTAATAAAATATCGTTAGCTTAATAATCTTGAAGCCTTAGATGTTAAGTGTGAATGTCTGATTGAATGAGAGTCCTGAAAGCTGGTTAGTCCTACAGTAATGTACTCACATTTTGTTCTTCTCCAATTTCAGTATTATGGGCTGCAAATCTTGGAAAATGTGATAAAAACAAGATGGAAGATTCTTCCAAGGAACCAGTGCGAAGGTAGGGAGGGATTTTTCTTCTCCTCATAACTTTGGGTATTAACTGAGATTCAGACTGTCAGTCCCTGTGTAAGTAATTTTCAGCTTCAAACACAATTTTAGTGACTTTTTGTCCTGTTGTAAGATTCACCTGAGCTTTTCTGGATGATGAAATGACATCTTTTTGTGATTGTGGTCTCAGTGGGGTGGTGAGCACCTGAAATTCTGTAAGTTTGGGAAAAAGGTGTGACTGATGGTTTTGAAACATCTGAGGTGAGCTGCTGGTTTGGAGGTAGAGGCTTTGATTTTTCTGTTCTTGGCACAGGAGGTTTCCTTCAGCCTCTCTGGGCTGTGTGTGCAGCCCCAGCAGGGTTCTGTCATGTCCTGGTGGGCTCTGGGCTCCACCTGGGAGCATGTGTAGATCTGTGTAACCTTTTTGAGTTATTTTAAAATAGAAACACTAGGGAAATGCACAGTTTTACCTATTAATGGTCACTCATCCTAGGCAGTGTGATTCTCCAAAGTTGGTTTTAGTGCATGTGAGTGTATATACAGGTCATGTATAGATTGCTGTAATTGGTGCATTGTAGGGTGATTAACCTGCATTCTCCCATCACTGCAAGGAATCTGGAAGTCTTAAAATAAATACTGTTTAGTTTGTGGATTTTTTTTTTACCTCCCTCATAGGTTGCAGTGTGTGCTGGCTTTTAGCTGTTGGCTGTAGTAAATGGAGGTGCCTCAGTGGTACAGGATTGGTGCTTATTCAAATGGTTTTGTGCCAAGTCATCATCACTTGGACTTCAAAACTGCTTTAAATTCGTGATATTGAATGTTGTCACCATTGTATACTTGGCTTTTTATTAAAGGCTGCTTTTGGAACTCACTAAAGTTACTCCAAATCTCTTGTGTTCTGCTATGAGCTTTTATTAAATTTTTACTGCCAGTGCTTAGGTCCTGAATTATATTATTTAAAACAGAAGAGTAAATGGTGATGAAAATATGTGTAGAGAGAGGCTTTCACATTTTTGTGCTTGCTGCTCACCTATCCCCCCATCCCACAGATAAAGGGTAGCTCTCTTGGAAAGCAAAAGTGAAAGTGGAGTTTCCATTCATTCTACTGTTTGACCGGAAGGTTTCTAGGGAACAGCTTCAACTGAGGCTCAAGACACTACTGTGCCCTTTTGAGACACTAAAACAGCACCTTAGTTAACTAAAGTTAACTCTTCTCTGTGCTTTTAATAATTAGAGTGTCTCAACTTAGTAGTATCTGGTTGCCCTCCTGACTCTGAGCACTTAGTTTCAGCATCTGGAAGTTGTTTTTTGCTGGGGTAGCAGAGCAGGAAGAAAGGAAGGAGTTGTGGTAGAATAGTTGACAGAGAGATGTTCTTACTTGATAGTTTGGAACTGAACAAGTGCCAGATCCAGGATGTAATGCAGGAATTCTAGTCTTAGAGACACTCAAGTGCATAGAATAGCTGAGAAGTGGTGGTGGATGAGATCAAGAACTGTCATAACCAGAGCTTGATATGTTACAATGCAAAATAAAGTTACTGTCTGTAGCTGTGCAATCAACTGGGGGTATTTTATTCTTAACTTCTCCTGACTTCCATGCCTCCAGAGGGGAAAAAAATCCTTCCTGCTGTTTTAGGGGAACTGGGTCAGCTGGGTTTTGCTCGTGTGGTTTGTCTTGTACATCAGCAGAAGAAGAACCAAATGTGTTTTGTGTGCTGTGGCATTTGATCCATCCTGGCCTCAGTGATGTGGGAGGCAGATTCTGTTCCATCTCTAATCCAGTTTAATCTGATCTGTGGTGGTGGTTTTTTGATTTTTTTTTTAATTATTATTTTTATTTTTGGCTGATGGTACTGGCTGGTACAAAAGAACTGCTGCAGAGCTCATTCAGGTGGTTTGATTACCTGGCAGATTGTAAATTGAGGTTTCCTTGACTCCAGTTGTTCTTTGGTTGACAAGATTTTCCTGTTTGAAGTGTAACTAATGAAATGTGTGTGCAGGAAACTGAAACTCAGTCTGACAAAGGAATGCTCAGTGACAAAGGAAATCATGCAGGGTTCAAATCTGTTAGTTTTACCTCATATCTTAATTTATAAAAGATGTCTTCTACATGTCTGTTTGATTTGTGTAGTAAATGCACATGACAAATCTTCTTGGTTAGGATGAAAGTAAATGCATTTATGAGAAAAATGCTGTTTCCCCTTTGTGGTCTTTAGGAGTTGAAGTCAAGAGCAGAACTGAATTAAAGCGTCAGTGAATGAAAAAAGTTTTTGAAACAACTTTCCTGAAACTCACTGGGGGAAATAAAACAATGTTGTTAGTTACAGAGCCTGAACTGTAACTTTATTTTTAGATTTTTTTGTTTGTTTGTTTTTCTCAGCCATACCTTGGGTTGTTCATCAGAATGACTTGAGTTTAGCCAGAGGTTTATTGCTGCTTCTGTCTGAGTGCTGGGAGGTTTCAGCTTCCAGCCTGGAATTCCAGGTGCAAGTAGGAAAGTGCTTTCTTCAAATGTGTTCTTTAGGTTTGAAACTCAGTTCTGAAGCTTGCTTTTTATTTTAAAACACCTCTTGGTCTTGAGCTTTTGTGGCCCTGCTGCCTTTTTAAACTTGAGTGAAAAGTTGTTCTGTTGCTCAGGTATCGTTGTTTGAGAATTGTAAAAGTTCATTTGTATCTTTCTATGACTATAAAGCAGGAACTGGGCAGAACAATCAGTTTACAATTCTAAAATACTGACGTGATTACTCTGCTTTTTGTTCTTGATTTATTTTTTTTTTTGTTTGTTTGCTTTTGGAGTTGGCAGTTTGAGCCAGTGGGTTTTGTAGACAAAAGTGGAGTTAAAAGGGTAAAATTCAGTGAGATCAGATGCCTGGCCTGCATGTTCAGCCTTGAGACAAGACCAGAGTGATGGGTTAGACTTGATTTTGTGATTTATTTAGTCCTCCAGGGAGTGCTTGGAATGGCTCTCACATGTACACAAATGATGTCATGTGGTTTTCATTCAGGCCTCGCTCAGGGAGTGACATATTCCAGAACATCCCAAACAGTGCTGAACTTGGCTTGTTTCCAGGGTATTGTGCCATCACTGCCAAAGTTCTCACTTTATTGAGGTGATATGAAATTGCTTTAAACTCTGATATCCTTTGGAGTCAATTGTTGCATAATACTCACAAAGGATGGCATTTATTAAAGTGCTGTGGTCTCAAAAGGATTTTGTGACAGTGTGAAAACCTGCCTGGGAATAAAGGAATCCTGGTCCTCAGTTCAGTGATACATTTCATTAATCCTGCATTGTGAAATGAAATTCTGTTCCTGTGAACAGAGGGAGAGCTTGTCTGGAGTGTTTGGAGTTGCAGTGGATAAGCACTTCTTCATTATGAAACCCAAATTGCTTGTACAACTTCTCACTTGCTTTTCTTTTTTTTTTTAGTTTTTATTCATTTCAAAATGAGAAGTGTTCAGAGAGAGGCAGTTCAGTGTCTCCCAGGAAGGCCCTGGAGTTGAGAGTGAAGCTTTTTGATGTAGTGGAAGCTGCTGTAGAAGAGGTTTTTTTCTGTGGAGTGATTGGATATTTTAATGGAAATTTCTGGCCTGGCTTCGTGAAGAGATGATTTTTAATTCTCTGTGTAATGAAGGGGGAATGAGCTACATGGCACTTCTGTGTCTGTGTGGGAAGACAGACTCTTTTCCAGAGTTTTCATGACTTTGCTGTTTTAAAGCAAAGAGATTATGGCTTGATTTGGTTCACCACTAAGGGGCAAAGATGGTTTTTGGGACAACACGGGAAAGCATTGTTCAAGACTAAAAATAAGAAATGTGGTATTTTAACCACATTTGGGGACTCTTTAAACAGCTTAGTGTAAGTGTGAATGCATACAAACATCCCCAGAGGGGGCAACTCGGCTTCAGCATTTGAAATTCTAATTTTGGTTGCAAAATAACGCCGGGTTACGTTGCCCACCTGCTTCATTTATGCCTATTATTCTTCAGTATAAGCAGAGAATTTATTAATTTTAGTAAATTAGCGTGAAAATTAGTGTGAACTCATATCTGCAGCACCAACCAGAGGAATTTTCAACACTTGTGAAGTGTTTGTGCTCCGTAGAAAAGGTTGTGTGTGAGTTCATGGCTACCTGCTGTGTTTGGGCACAGCAGGAACTCCTGTGCTCAGGGTGCAGAGGGTACATGAGATGTCATTGCTTCTCAGAGCACATCCAAAGGTTAAACTGTAGGATATTCCTCAAGTTTAGACCCCAGAAGTTGCTGATGTTGGATATGCTGATGTTCCTCATTGTCCCAGCTCAGCTCAAACCGTTGCACAGCTCGGGCTCACCTGGGAAAACAACTTTCCCTCTGGGAAGTTTTCAGTTTTAGTGCATGTTTGCATTTCTGGAGACAAGGAACTTTAACAGAAGGACTTCAGTGTCTAATGTACATCCAGGAATGTTCTTGAGTTCATGTCCTTGCTCTATCCTCCCTTTTTTTTTTTTTGTACTTTGTACTCAAGTACTTCTCGTGCTTCACTTATTAGAAAATGCCACCAGTGGGGTGACAGTGACCATGTCCAGCCTTTCTGATAATTGGGACATATTTTGATGATCTGCTGTTGATAAAGATGTTCCTCACCTGGGCACTTCCCTGCCAGCTTAGCTGAGTTTAAGAAAGGTTTTAACTGCTGAACTTTCTTGTTAACTCTGTTTTTTTCTCAGTTTAGCCCTTGAACTTGAGCAGGTGGTAGAACTGCCAGTTCTCTTGCAGTGAAAGTTTTGGAATGGGAAACAGGATCTGCTCCCTTTGCTTGCAGGTTGTTGTGAGTTCAGTGCAGTTGTAACATCAGCTGGTCTTTGAAGAACATTAAGCGTGCCCTGGGTGTTGTGGCTGGTGTGTTGTGTTTTATTGTTTTATTGGAAGATCTGTTTTCCAGGAATGTCTCTGTCTCTTCCTGTTTGGCTCAGGGAAGGGTCTGAACTTGGCAGTTGTGTTGTTGCCACCTTCAAACTCGTTCAGCTGCCTGTGATGGAAGGAGACCTTCTAGGCAGTGGTTGTGTGGCTGGTGCATGTGCTGGGCCTGCCTCCCTAAAATAGCACTTCCCTTGAAGTTCCCAAAACACTTTCAGCACATCCCATGGACCTCTACCCTGGAGCAGTTTTTTTTTTGGATGTGTCCTGCTGAAAAATGGTAATGAGCCTGCGTGTTGATTTTTGTCAGAACACAAAGCTGACCTATATTTGTTCTGCCGAGAATTACCTTTCCTATGGGATCATAAAGAAATGAGTTATTAAATGTGGAGCAGGAACCACTTGAGGTAAAAAAAAAAAAAAAAAAATAGAAAATTACATTTAAGCCAAAAAGAGCATTAGAGAATTGGATAGCTGCTGCTTTTAAGGGATTAGGAATATGACTTTGCTCGTTGGAAGACCTCAGCAGCCTGCAGCGTAAAAAGGAGCAAACTTTCTAGGTTGTCTTTTGAGCTGTGGGGACCATTTTTACTTTTATTTTTATTGTCTTGATGGACAAGCTGTGGAGCAGAGCAGCTGTTTGTGTCTGCTGGTCTCAAGGCCAGATCAGTGGTAACATAATATTCAAATTGTTCCTGAACAGCACAATTCCATTGATGCAGCAAGATGGAAAATAACATAAATTAGCAGTCAGAACTCTAAGAACAATATTAACTTTTTAATTCCTTTTTGAAATGCAAAGAGTTGCAACAGTAGGTTTCCCTTAGTGGTTTGGCAGACAGTTATAACAGTTTAGTTTCTGGCTCTGCAAACCTATTTTCATCCTATTTTTGGTAGCTTTCATATCTCATTTGTGAATTGCTGTAATGCTTCAGCAAAGTGTGTTGATTTTTTAGCTTTAAAACACTAGAACAGGCCTATGATGTCAGACTAGTGCTTGGTAATAACTCTTGCCCAGGGACTGACAGTGCTACTTATTTTATTAATAACTGGAGTACTGTGAATTGATCCCAGTTGATGATGATGAATACTTTCATTTGTAATTGGAACTACCTGCAGAACAGCTCCTGTCTGGTTCCTATCTAACGCCTCAAAGTCTAGATCTGGTTTTGCCAGATTTCATGGGAATGCAATTACTAAACTGTCTCTTTTAATCCTCTTGCTTAGGCCTGAAATGCAAAAAAAAAAAATAAATAAAAAATTACTAAATTTGCTGAAGTCTTAGACAAGTTTTTAAAACTTAACACAGTGGATTATGCCTTCAACATAAGGCACTTTTACAGTGACAGTTTTTTCTGGAATCTTCAACATGTTGCCTGCATGAGTCAGTTGACTGTCTTGCTGGAGAAATGATTGAAACCAGATTTTTGGGTTCATGGATTTGATTGGCAAAACAGCCACCTATTCTGGGATGTCGCTTCCTTATGGCAAGAAAACACTTGCCCGGTTCGAAGGGTTTAATCCCCGCTGTGCTCAGATGGGTCGTGGGGTCAGAGCTGGGTTGGAGTGGAACTGCTGGAATATTCACCAAGGTCGTGACTCCAGATCCTCCTTTCCTTGGGAGTCACGTGGTTTTGGGATGAAAAGTCACTTGGAAAGCCGTTGTTTCCATGGCTGCAGTATTTGAGAGGTTAATGGTGAGGAGGGACCTGAGCATTAGGTGGCAAAATGAAACCTCAGACCATGTAGCTTCTTACCGTGGTGGGTTTTTTTGGTTCTGTGGTGGACCTGAAAACTCTAAAATCATTTAAAAACACCTTTGGAAGAACTATAACCAAATAAGTGATGTGTAAACAAACAAACAAAAAAGGCAATAAACTAGAATTCACTAATTTTGTACATCCAAAATATCCTCTGGCAGAATTGGTAAAGGTGAATTTTTTTTCATTTAGCTCCCTGACACGTACAAATATGGTCCTGACAGGGGTTTCTTTTTAAAAATGCAAAGGGTCTGAAATCAGAAATGTTTGTAACTACATCAGTGATATGTGGCATTGTTGAAAATAAATTCCTACCTCTCCTGCAGGTATTAAAAAATATGTTGTCGGCCTAATTATCAAGACCTCATCTGACCCAACATGTGTAGAAGTAAGTGAATCCTTCTGAGGGGAGGGCGAGGGAGGGGAGTATTGGGCATAACCTGACTGGTCTCTTCTCTCCTGCAGAAAGAGAAAGTGTATATTGGCAAACTGAATATGATCCTTGTTCAGGTGAGCTGGAGTTCAGAAAACTTTGAATTTTGCTGTTAAGTCCCTCCCTTTGGCACATGTGTCTCACCTTTGGCTGCTTCGCTTTACAGATCTTGAAACAGGAATGGCCCAAGCACTGGCCGACCTTTATAAGTGACATTGTGGGAGCCAGCAGGACTAGTGAGAGCCTTTGTCAGAACAACATGGTCATCCTCAAACTCTTGAGTGAAGAGGTGTTTGATTTTTCCAGTGGCCAGATCACTCAAGTAAAAGCTAAGCATTTGAAAGACAGGCAAGTATATACATTTAAGCTTAATTAACAGGGCAGACCTTGTGCTTGCTGCTGTTTCAGTTGCTCTCACTTTGTGTGAACACCTACAGATGTCTAATTCCATTTCAGAGAGCTGGTTTTTCTTTAAAGCAGGGATGTCTAACTATTGTACAGCCAGGGATTTCTACCTTGTTGCAAGCAGCATCTGTTGACTGATGGTTCCTCCCCTTCTAACAGATTGTATTCCCTAAGCCAGAATTTGCAGGCACAGGCTTCAAGCTACTTCAAAATGTGCATTATTACCATGAAAGTGGGTAAAAGCCAGGTGGCTTGTGAATGCAAGACATAGGTCTTCAGGACCTGTTTTGTGTGCATATATATATATATATTTTGATTTATGATGTGGCAGTGCTTAATTTTTAATTTATATTGTTTTTTACAGCATGTGCAATGAATTCTCTCAAATATTTCAGCTGTGTCAGTTTGTGATGGTAAGTGATATTTCTTTACTGATGTTTTTAAAAACTCTGCCCCCTCTCCTGCCAAACAGTGTCACAATGTCATAAACACTGCTGGTCCTTTACAGGAAAACTCCCAAAATGCTCCCTTAGTCCATGCAACTTTGGAAACTTTGCTACGATTTCTGAACTGGATTCCTCTGGGATATATATTTGAGACCAAGTTAATCAGCACACTAATATACAAGGTACTCTTGCAAAAAAAAAAAAAAAAAGGATTCCTTTTAACTTTTTTTATTTCATTTTTTTTTGAGTGCAACACTTCTGTGACGCTCTTTATTTTGCTTTTCTCAACAGTTCTTAAATGTTCCCATGTTTCGAAACGTCTCTTTGAAGTGCCTCACAGAGATTGCAGGGGTCAGTGTAAGCCAATATGAAGAACAATTTGTAACACTTTTTACACTGACCATGATGCAGTTAAAACAGGTAATGGGTTTTTTTTATAAATCTCTCTTTGACTGCCCCAAAAACCGGTTTCTGTAAAACCTACTGCAGTTGACAGGTTTACATCCATTACATCAGATTTCCTGATAGGACAAGTATTGTTCCTCACTGGTATTTGTGGTGTGATCAGAAGATGCTGAGTGTGTTTTTGTGACTAATTTGCAGCTATATTGTTTTGATTAACTAATTAATTTTGAGCACTTGGGCTGTCTGGTGCAGAAAGTGGAGAGAGGCACAGCAAAATGTGTTTCTTAAGGCTTAAACTGACCCAACGCTCTGCAAGTTGCTGTTTAATTTTTGGAACATCTATCATATAAAACCATACATGAAATTTTATATAATTTGATGATTCCCCTCTGAGCAGTTCAGATTCAGGTACACGAGTCAGTAACTTTCCTCACTGTATTTGCATCACAAGTAGATGGTTAAAGGGGTTTTTTGACAGTTTTTTCCTCTCTTTGCAATGCTGGGAGGTTCTGCATGAAAAACAGAAGGTCTTTTTATTTTTTTTTTCTCAAAAGAGCAAAATATTTGCTGATTACACAATAGTTCTTCTGTATAAAAAGGGAAATTCTTGATTGTGCCTCCATCCTTTTTGTTAGATGCTTCCTTTAAATACCAATATCCGACTTGCTTACTCGAATGGCAAAGATGATGAACAGAACTTCATCCAGAATCTCAGTTTGTTCCTCTGCACCTTCCTCAAGGAACATGGTCTACTTATAGAGAAAAGATTAAATCTGAGGGAAACACTAATGGAGGTGAGTTCCTTGCTTTATCCAGCTTAAAAATGTAAGCAAGTGTGTTTTCACACTCACTGCAATTTTTAAATCATCGTACTCAACCCTAACCCTTAGTGAATTTGGTTGCAAATATCAAACTGTAGCTCATTTAGAATTGAGGGGGTATCACTTTTTTAGTTTAAAAGAACAACTGCCAGCAGTTCCCAGATAATTCTCAAATTGGCAGGTAGTAAGTGTTCAAAGTAACTGGGAATCAGGTGAGCACAGCTCAAGGCTCAGGTTGCTGCTGTATTAGAAAGACCTGTTTAAATGCCTGAAGCTCTTGCATGTCCTTTGCAATTGTGTGCAAATCAAAGTGCAGTTTTTAGGTATTGGCCTCCTTCCTCGTCAGCATAACTGTGTTAAATTCTTCTTTAAAACAGGTATTCATGAAGCTTGATTCTCAACAACTGTAGTCTTGTTTGGGATGTTGTAATGTTTAACAAAGTACTTAGGCTGACCTAAAATGGCTGCAGATTTAACTTGATACATTCTGGTATAACAGAACCTGGTACAGGTCATTCTAACCTGTTTATTCCTGCACTTTGGATGCACTAGATCTCCTGAAGTTGTTCCACAGATTCATTGGACTGGTGAAGGAAGCTACATCAGTTATTTCAAGTGAAATTACCAAGAGGAATTGATGTGTATAAAATGAATGTATGGCTGTTTTAAATCCCTCTCTTGATGCTCGATAAGATCTTTATCTTCTAAAACACTGCAAGTTGTTCTAGTACCTAAGCTGTGAAAATGTCTTCAGATTTTATCACCAGGGAACTGAAAAATAAGCTTAGGCAAAAAATGTTTGTCTGTGTAGCTCTGATTTCTATGGTTGGTGTCTCAGCTTGTCAGAATTGCATCGGTGGCTTTCCCCTCTCAGCCCGCTCTCGTTGTTCTGTCTGTAAAGAAGTTGAAAGTGTCCTGGCAGCTGACTTCTGTGGGAAGCAAAGGAGCAGTATTGCAGGGTAAAAGGATCCAGAACAAAGCAGCAGTAATAGTGTTGAGAATAGCAATCCCTGACACCAGCTGTTGAGGGCTTTGAGGCTCTGGCAATGCCCTGCAGAAGCTCCAGAGGCCACGGGTTTGATAATTTCCAAACAGGCTGCTTTGGTGATGGCATTTTTTAAGATGTCTTTAGGCTCCTTCAGTTCTAAGAGATCTGTACGTGCTTTGAAAATAACAATAATTGACAGAACTCCTTGTTTGTGACTTGCTCTGCCAGTCACGACTCTGACTTGTAAGTAATGTCATTGCAGTGCTGCTGCCTCTTCTTCCAAACTCTTGGCATTTTATCAGGATTGGGGATCACTGAACTTGAAGCAATGTGGATAAATAATCAGTAATGGGCTCTTTAAACCACACTCTTTTCCAGGCTCTTCATTACATGTTGTTGGTATCAGAAGTTGAAGAAACTGAAATTTTCAAGATTTGTCTCGAATACTGGAACCATTTGGCTGCTGAGCTCTACAGGGAAAGTCCGTTCTCAACGTCCGCTTCTCCGCTGCTTTCGGGGAGCCAACACTTCGATGTTCCTCCAAGGAGGCAGCTTTACCTGCCTGTTTTGTCCAAGGTAATCCAGGCTTAAGGAAAGGCACTGGAAAGGTCCAGATACTGTTGGTGAAGTAAAGATTTTTGCCTCGTGCAAGGAGCGACCTGAGAAAACTCCCCTTTCTTTGGGTAGTCGGTAGTTGCTTCAACTCTAGTTCTGTAATCAGCTGCAATTGTGAAAATACTTAAGGTGACACCACTGTATAACAAGAGTTAGTATGGTGTTTCAGCTTTTTTAAGATACTTAAAGTAAGACTTAATTTTAAAATAAATCAGTGTTAAACGGTTTCTTTTAACAGAAAGGCTGGAGTTGTTACACTTGGAGTGAAAACCTCTGCGTTTGGGAAAAGTGATCTTTAAAAGACCCCTACTATGACATATGCATTTTGAATCTAAAAAGTTTATCTACTTCACAGGTTGGGGTTTTTTAACTACCCAGCTTGTTCATGGAGAGAGAGAGAGAGAGAGAAGTCAGCAGATTCCATTCTTAAAGGCTCGTTAGTTGATATTTCTCTGTAGAATTTGTGTGTGAGCTGGATATATAACCTTTTATATGGTTGAGACTGCCTGGCCAGAGTGCTCTGTAAACACTTGTGGAAACTCTGGGAATGCTGTGAGTGCTTTTGTGTGAGAGCTGGATTCCCTTTTCTCTGCCCCCAGGTCCGGTTGCTCATGGTGAGCCGCATGGCCAAGCCTGAGGAAGTCCTGGTTGTGGAGAACGATCAAGGAGAGGTAGTTCGGGAATTCATGAAGGACACAGACTCCATAAACTTGTATAAAAACATGAGAGAAACGTTGGGTAAGTGGACTGGCTGGAATTTGTGCCTGTGGATTGCAGGGATCGTTTAGGGGGGTTTTGGGGTAAGTAAAAAATGTCAGAGTCCCAACTGACACTTGAGGGAGTGAGGGGAGTAGAGTTTTCAGATATTTAGGACACCAGACTTACACACTAAATATTTTTTATCAAGTGCAAATGGGAACACTGAGTGTTTAATAACAGATTTTTGCACTGGGAGTGTTTGTGGGAAAGCTGAGGGGGATGCAAAGTGTATGTGGATTTTCTTATTCTCACCCTTGTCCTTTTGGTGCAGGTGCAGCCATTGTGAGGTTAATTGTTCTAATTCTTCTAATTGTCCACATTTTCATATGGAATGTGAAAAACTCTAGTACTATTGTATTAAACATTTGATTTATTGTATTAAAACAATTACTGTATGTCCTGAGCCTTGGTTGTATTTCCAGATACAGGATTATTTATATGAAAATGCAGATTTGGTTCATATTGCTTATCGTGTATTATCTTGTAAGATTCACTTTAAAAAAAAGGGAGAATGTGGTGGAAGCTGTTTTCTGTGGTCCAGTAAAAATCTATTTCTGAACCTGGCCTTAAATTGCTCTTGACTTGCTGGGATTTAGAATTGTATATTGGAGACACTAATCCTATTAGGGGCTGATGCAAGTGTCTGAGTTGTGATACCTGAATCTTCCACCTGGGCCTGTTCAGGAGCATCAGCTCCATGTTATCCGTGGGTTATTGCACCAGCAGGCTTGGTAACACTGAAATAAAGAGGCTGTTTAATGTCCCCCCGTAGGAAGCCAATCCCATATTCCCTATAGACCATCAGTACAGATGCCTTTGGGTAATAATTTAACTGCTGATTTGACTGGTATGTGAGACATTCATTGATTTGCACTTTCCACATTGTTCTGAGGGATCTCGGCAAAGCATCACACGCAGGCAAACTCAATAAAATTTACTGTCCATCTTTAAAACACAGTTTCAACAAATTTGTGTTTAAATTATTATCCAGTTTTGTCCCGAGTTCAGCAGAGGAGCATTGCAATTGCCTGATAGTTTCACTGTATTTTTATTCAGCTGCTTACAGAGTTACGGTCCAATTGCTGCTTTAAAATGTGCCCTGTTCCACGCTGATGTCTTGCAGTTTATCTTACACACCTGGACTATGCAGACACAGAACGAATTATGACTGAAAAGCTTCACAATCAAGTGAATGGGACAGAGTGGTCGTGGAAAAACCTGAACACCCTGTGCTGGGCCATCGGCTCCATCAGCGGCGCGATGCACGAAGAGGATGAGAAGAGGTTCCTGGTTACAGTAATTAAGGTATCCTGGAACAGAACCAACAGCTTGGTCACACTTCAGAGTCCGTGCTCAAGAAACCAAGTGTACAGAAACACTGCTCTGTGTTCTTAGAAAGCTGCCTTGTAAATGCAGGGTGATGAGAATAAATAGGTGGGAGATCTTCTGTCCTGAATTTGGGGCTGATAAATTTGTTAGCCATGAAGAATGCCTTGATCCAAACAGCCTTTTCCGTGGGGTGAAGTTTAGTTCACGATGAAATGTTTTTCTTTAGGGATGCAGAAGAGCTGGAAAGGGATTATTGATGAAATACAGGAGAGTGGCACAATAACCCACTATTTTAACTAGCCTAGCACCATGCTCCTTTGCTGTCTTCTGTATATTCATTAATAAAACTCAAATATTTGTAAATATGTGCATAATATTTTTACAAGAGTAATGGACCTTTAACAGGTCATCTGAATTCATACAGAAGATTTAGTTTAATATCTTCTGTTTGATGTGAAGTGTGTATTTTATTGCTATCAACCACTCAGACAGTATTGAGGACTGTGAGGCTTGTGAAACTCCCCCCTGAAGGAATCTTTAGTTACATGTAAAATGGAGATTCTGTAGTTTAAAATACAATGATCTGGGTTTGTCTGAAACTGAAATGATTTCATCACCCCAATCTTAAACCACTCATTTGTTTTTTTTTTTTCTTAATTTGGGTTTTGAACTTGATTATGGCAACCACTTTAATGTAGCTCCTTAGAGGATTTTATGCTTAAAGTGCTTTTAATTGAACTGGACAAACTTGAGGAGGAAACCAAGAATCTATTGTGTTGCAGGATCTCCTGGGACTGTGTGAACAAAAGCGAGGAAAGGACAATAAAGCCATTATTGCATCAAATATAATGTATATAGTAGGTCAATACCCTCGGTTTTTGAGAGCTCACTGGAAATTCTTGAAGACAGTAGTCAACAAGCTGTTCGAATTTATGCATGGTAATTATCTGGGGTTTTTTCTTATTTGTTGTTATAATTATTAAAAAAAAAAAGCCTATACATAGACACGTGTAGGGGAGAAAACACAAAGCAATAACTGCCTTGCTCTGATTTAGAAACCCACGATGGTGTCCAGGACATGGCTTGTGATACCTTCATCAAAATAGCACAGAAATGCCGCCGGCACTTTGTCCAGGTGCAGGTGGGGGAGGTGATGCCATTTATTGATGAAATCTTGAACAACATCAACACAATCATCTGTGACCTTCAGCCACAGCAGGTATGTTTTGGTTCAGTGGGGTGGGTGATTCCTAAAGTCTAATGGAAAGGTGCTTCTTAGGGAAAGGCAGGGGGTTTTCCAGTGATGAATTATATTCCTTAGGTTTTTGTTAGGGGACAAATAGCCCAGGTTGCTTTGAGATGTTACTTGGAAATGCTTGGAAGTGGAATTTTAAGTGTCATTTAGTTGGAATTTTTGAGTTCTGGAATGTTTTAACCTGAAAAGAAGACATTGAATCGAACTCAGTGCTTCTGCTTTGGGAAAGAGCAATACTATAACAGTATATTTGGACAGTGGTTGTATTTTTGAAGGAGGGGGTGAGGACTAAGCCAAAAGGGAAGGGGAAATGTGTCCTGGAAGGGAGAATAGTGTTCACATGTGACACCCACTGAGATATTGCAATAACATACTGAAACTTCGGGCAGAGGGGATCTGGCATCTGGAAAAAAGCACTTCAGGAGTGATGGAAGCCAGTTTAAACATGTCTGGCTATGTTTAAAGTTTTTCCTTCCTCCTTTTTAACCTCCCTGCTTGCTGTGCTGCTGCTTCCCCCCCAGGTGCACACGTTTTACGAAGCAGTGGGATACATGATCGGGGCACAGACGGACCAGACTGTGCAGGAGCACCTGATAGAAAAGTACATGTTGCTGCCCAACCAGGTGTGGGACAGCATCATCCAACAGGCAACAAAGGTGAGCTCAGAAGTTCTGAATGTCTTCCATGTTCAGGTGAAAAGCTGCTAAATGTTTATTTTTGCATATTTTCACATGAAGTGCACAGAGCTGGGGTGGACTTCACAACAAGATGGCTAAAAACAGTCACTGACGTGACAATGAAAGTGCTGTTTTGAGAGAGGAGACTTAAATGACAAAATATTTGTTTAAATCTGATCGAAAGCACAGTTTTTTGTTACTGCACAGAGTAGATTTTTTTTTCCAGTAGATTTTTAAAGGCCTTTCACTTGGCTGAGTGGGTTTTCTTTTAGGATAACAGGCAAGTTATAATGCTAAAAATACTGTAAAGCACATCTTTACTTCTTACTTTTACATTCCATCTCTTTCAGTCTTCCAAAATACTTAAAGAACAGCAGTCTTGACACTGCACAAGAGACAATCCATTTGCAGTTAATCTAATTAAGAACCTGAAACTTCAGTGAGCTTGAGTTACTTTTTCTACTCTGACTTCCCTCTTAAAAAAAGACCATTTCCACTGCATTTCCTTTGGGCCACTTCCGTTTTCACCTTCTTAATCTCCTTAGGTTTTTTTCCCTTTCTGCAACTAGAGTAATGCTTTTACCACTGCAGCAAAAATACTTCTGCAGATGAGCAGAATGAAATAATTTCAAGTTTTATCCTGACTATGTTGTGGGTACTGGCAAATGCCATGAAATAAAGAGCAGTATATATATATATATATATGTAAAGTCCATGAATGTCAGTGATGTGTTCTTTAAGGCAGTGTATAAGACAAATTGTTTCAACTTCAGGCTTTTATATTGAAAGCCACAGGGCAGTTGTATTCACTAACCAATATGAACTCTTATTTTTTTTTTAACAGAATGTTGATATCCTAAAGGATCCTGAAACAGTCAAGCAGCTTGGTAGCATTCTGAAAACCAACGTGAGAGCGTGTAAAGCAGTTGGCCACCCCTTTGTGATTCAGCTTGGAAGAATTTATTTAGATATGCTGAATGTGTACAAGTGCCTAAGTGAAAATATTTCTGCAGCTATTCAGGCTAATGGTAAGAAATTCCAGGTTCTTCCTGAAAATGGGGGGTAATCTGTGTCTGCCATCAGGTTTCAAAGTACATCCCAATTAGGTTATTGTCACTGTTTGAATTTACTGTTTGGGATAATAGAAAAGAATTGGAAGTGCTTGCTTCAATCTCTTTGTTAACCAGTCGTTGTATTGAAATAAAGAACTCCCAGTTTTAGAGGGAGGAAAAAACATCTCTGAATGAGAAGGTTTAAGGAAGATTGAGAACAGTGGAGATGCTTACTTAGAATTAATAGGCATCTTGCTGAGACCAAGTAGTGTGTGTTCTTGGAGCTGACTCTGATTTTGAGTGTTAAAAGCCTCTCTGTAAATAGAATCTCAGCCATTTCCTCAGAAGCTGTTGGCAGGTTTTGTACCAGACTCTGCTGCTCCCGAGCTGCGTTGCAGAATTGTGAGTGAAGAGGCCTCAAAAGTCAGGATAAACCAGGCTTTCAGTCACAGAGGAGGAATTATCAATTACCTCACATAGCTATTTTTACCAGATAAATAAGGGCCTGTGGTGTCTCAGCAGAAGGTGCTTCTGTGGTGGTTCATTACGAGATGAAATGAGTCAGTTGTTGAGTTCTGTGTTCCGAGCGGTTCTCAGGCCGGTGCAGACGATGATACCTGGAAATGGGAATGTTAAATGGAACTTGGAAACGGAGCAGCTGCTTTACCTTGAAGTAGATTCTCAGAATTCAGAAGAAAAGTGACTGAGAAATCAATACATTTTCATTCAGCAGCTCTAATGGCCAGAATTTGTCCTTGTCAGACACAGTGAATTTTAGGAAGCGGTTGCTGGGGCTGTAGGCCTGGTGTTCTCCTTGGCCAGCAACTGCTGGGATTGCAGTCACCTCAGAGCATGTCTTTACAATTGGTGAAGATTAAAGACAAAGGAAGCCTTTAACAGTCTTTGTAATTTGGATATAAAAATCAAGCATTCTCAGTTCTGTTTATGTCAGCCTAATCTTCTATTTTTGTGTTTTTTTCACACCTCACACAATTAACTGAAGCTTTAAAATTTTCCAGGTGAAATGGTAACAAAGCAGCCCTTGATTAGAAGTATGAGGACTGTAAAAAGGGAAACTCTGAAACTAATTTCTGGCTGGGTGAGCAGGTCCAATGATCCACAGATGGTAAGTAGATGCATTTTGTACAAATAACTCCTAAGGCGGAATTGGGAACTGGTTTGTGTTCTGTTGACTGAACCAGTTGGTCACAGGAGAACTTGCTTCAGGAGGTCTGTAAAATAGAAGGGAGAGGTAAGCTTAGCTCTGTTTGAGATACTTCAGTTTTTAGCTGAGGGTGAACTTGGAGGGAATCAAGGAGGTTTAAGAGCCCTGTGGGAAGGTGGATACAGAGGATGGGAACATATTTCAACTTCCCCGTTGAGTTCCAGGCAACCCTTTTCCTTAGGAACCGCGTGCTGGAGCCTTTGCTCCGTAGCTGCACTGCATAACCACGGTTTGCTCTTCCAATTAGGTAGCTGAAAACTTTGTTCCTCCGTTGTTGGATGCAGTTCTCATCGACTACCAGCGGAACGTGCCCGCGGCGCGGGAGCCCGAGGTGCTCAGCACCATGGCCATCATTGTCAACAAGCTGGGGGGGCACATCACTGCTGAAATACCTCAGATCTTCGATGCTGTCTTTGAGTGCACATTAAACATGATCAACAAGGTATTTATTTATGTTTCAGCTCGGGACAAGGCATCTCCCCTGGAATGCTTCCATACTGGTGTCTTGTGAATCATCTCCCCGGTTTTTTGCCAGTCACGAAGTTGAATTTGATGAAATTTCTGCTCAAATCGTCAATAATTTTTCTGGGGCCTTGCCTGGAAGGAGGACTGTGCTACAGTCAAGTGTCAGTGTAGGACTAACTGCTAGAATCCATAAATCTTTAAAGTTTATGAACACAGGTACTGGTCAGTCATGTTGAGTATCTCCTCACTGATGCAGTCCTTGTGCTACAGTGTGCCAGATGTATTTGCACAACCCTTGAGCACCACCACTGAATTAGTGCTACTTGGCCAGCAGGGTGTAACCAGAAATTGGACCCCTGTGGCAGTTTTGGTGCCTAACCAGGCTTGAGTCTCTCTATGTGGTGTCTGTGGCCTGAGCAGTGACTGAGGCTGTGCCCTGACACACTGTGGCTCAGCCTTTCAGTGTTGTGTCACTGTAGAAGATGGTCTTGCCAAGCTTTGGTGGGGAAAAACTCAGAGAACTGTAACCTTTGCTTTGAATTTAAACCTGGGATGTCAGTGCTGTTCTGTGTCAAGCTACTGGCTTGCTCTGCTTAACAGAAGATCTTAAGAGGAACTTCAGGAGACCTGACTTTTCTTTCCCCTTCTCTTTCTAGGACTTTGAAGAATATCCTGAACATAGAACAAACTTCTTCTTGCTACTCCAGGCTGTAAATTCTCACTGCTTCCCAGCCTTCCTGGCCATTCCACCTGCACAGTTCAAACTTGTTCTGGATTCTATTATTTGGGCTTTCAAACATACAATGAGAAACGTTGCAGATACAGGTAAATGGCAGTGTTTGATGCAGATCAGGTGTTTCCTGGTCGAATGTTGTTTTCTTTAGTCAAACTCGGCATATCAGTCATGTGATTTGCACAAGAATAATATTCCTCTCTCTCAGCTCCAAGGTTTCAGCCAGGTATCCGTGAATGGGCTGAGATACTTGGTTGCTGTTTCATTCCTGTAGCTGGAAGGGAGCAGTGTTACAGTGTCTGCTTGCACTCTTCTGAAGTGGTTGAATGAATGTCCCAGCTCAAACTGGTGCTACAAAAAACCCTGTGAAACCACTGAGGTTTTTTTTTTTTTTTAGTGATTGGAGAAGATGCTGTTCGGTTGTGTTTCACCTGGGAAAGTTATTTAAGTTCCCGTGTAAATCCGGACATTAAAACACCTTCCCTTGCTTAATTAGCAAACACTGGGCAGAGGGTTTCCCTCATTAAGTGCTGTGATTTGCCCTTTTTGCTAATGATATGCCAATGCAGCTGCAGGGGTGGGCCATGTCAGGGCAGCAGTGCCCTCTAGTGCCCGGCAGAGCCCTCACATGCCGTGCTGGGATTTTTGGTGCCAACCAGAATTTCTCGGCGTATCTGTGTCGTTTTGGGAAAGGCCAGGTATTGGTCAGCTGGTAATTTAAGTGTTTTTTTTTTTTTTAACACCTCTTTTGCAGGACTTCAGATCCTTTATACTCTACTCCAGAACGTTGCCCAGGAGGAGACGGCTGCCCAGAGCTTCTACCAGACGTATTTCTGCGACATCCTCCAGCACATCTTCTCCGTGGTGACGGACACCTCGCACACCGCAGGTAGGAATTGGCCTCTGGGGGAGGCAGGGGATGGAAAACCATCCTCCTGAACATCAAATAACGGAGCACATCCTGTTGGGAATTAATCCCTGCGTGCCTGGCTCTGATCCCTGCAGGTTTGACAATGCATGCATCAATCCTGGCCTACATGTTCAACTTGGTAGAAGAGGGAAAGATCAGTACTCCCCTAAACCCTGGGAATCCAGTGAACAACCAAATGTTTATCCAGGAGTATGTGGCCAATCTCCTCAAGTCTGCATTTCCTCACCTGCAAGAGTAAGTCTGCCATGATTCTTTGGTGCTCCTGAGTGGGCTCTTCCACCTTGGGATACTAATGGATGTGTTTGTTGTCAGTGCCCAGGTGAAGCTGTTCGTAACAGGACTGTTCAGTTTAAACCAGGATATTCCTGCCTTCAAGGAACACCTAAGGGATTTCCTGGTCCAAATCAAGGTATGTTGGGTGTGCTTTTTTCAAGGAATTGAAACCAGTTTTCAGCAGGATATTGTTGGAAAGAGCTTGGACAGTGTTCATTCCGTGTTTGCTTAGAGATACAAGTTTCTTTGCAGCTTCTTAAAATGCATTGAGAACTCTGTCCAATGGTTTATGGTGTTCCATGGAATCTGTTTCAGTGGGATTTAATTTTATAAATTGAGCTTAAACATCATCACTTGTATTTTATGCTGCACACACAATTCCAGTGTCTAAGACAGCTGCAGAACTTACTCAAACAGGTTATAAGTTGATTTTTAACCAGATTTTGTTTCAGTTCTGCTTGGAAATTGGACCAGTTTTGAAATTTGTTGCAGTAATGCTATGCCTTTATTTTTCTAAAGATGCTAGAATTCTAAGACTGTAGGAAAGAGTTTGGAATTAGTTTTGAGATGACAGTTGTCAGGTGTTTCACAATTGTAATGATTCTGCTTTAATTACCACGATTCTGCTCCAAATGCTGGGTAACTGCAGCATCCCTTTCTGTAACACATGGTGAGAATCTTCAGTTATTTTGCATTGCTTTCTATTAATTCTGACCTTAGGAACAGAAATCCAAGCAAACAGGGGATGGGAAGATGTTTTCCTTGTCATTTTGGAAGCTCATAACTCTGCCTAAAGCATTTGACAATAAACTAATGTTTTTCTGTGAATTATACAGGAATTTGCAGGTGAAGACACATCAGACTTATTCTTAGAGGAGAGAGAAACAGCCCTTCGACAGGCTCAAGAGGAGAAACATAAACTTCAGATGTCTGTACCCGGCATCCTTAATCCACATGAAATTCCTGAGGAGATGTGCGATTAAAAACAAAAATAAAACAAGTTTTGCAGTTTTCCTTCTGTACAGCTACTTTGTTGTGATAGAAGAAAACAGCACTTGGATATTTGTTGACCAAAATGATGCCAATTTGTAAATTAAAATGTCACCTAGTGGCCCTTTTTTCTTATGTGTTTTTTGTATAAGAAATTTTCTGTGAAATATCCTTCCATTGTTTAAGCTTTTGTTTGGTCATCTTTATTTAGATTTGCATGAAGTTGAAAATTAAGGCATTTTCAAAGTAATTACTTCATGCCCATTTTGTGGCTAAGGGGAAAAAAAANGGGGAAAAAAAATAGGCAAAACGTTTAACTTGTAAAAGACTATATTGCAAAATAATCCAATTTCCTGTAAGAGTATCGATTTTTTTTTTTTTTTTTTAAATTCGGTTTTTCTTTCTAGTCTGTCCTGCAGTCTAGGAGAAAAGGTGAAGAGTAAAGCAGATTGAATTCATTGTTCAGCAGAGGATTCTAGTGCTGCCTTTGTTCTGAGCAGTTAGCAGCTTTTTGGACCGAGTGGTAAGGCTGTAGGCTACGTGTATTTGCAAGTTGTATGGCAAGTTTGCAGCAAGATCATGTGCATATCATCCCATTGTAAAGCAACTTCTGAAGAGTATGGGAACACAGTACAGTTAGTTATTTTTACACAGTTCTTTTGTTTTTTGTGTGTGTGCTGTCGCTTTGTCGACAACAGCTTTTTGTTTTCCTCAATGAGGAGTGTTGCTCATTTGTGAGCCTTCATTAACTCGAAGTGAAATGGTTAAAATATTTATCCTGTTAGAATAGGCTGCATCTTTTTAACAACTCATAAAATAAAAAAAAAAAAAAACCAAACAAAAAAACTGGCTTTTGAGATGACTTATACTAATTTACATTGTTTACCATGCTGTAGTGCTTAAAGAACACTACTTAAAAGCAAAATAAACTTGGTTTACATTTATTTTTCTTTCTTCGGCTTATTCTTTTATTGGATGAAAATGCTGTGATCATATTTAAGATTTGTATTCGAAGGTGTAGGAGAAGTTCCTTGAGGTCTAGATAACTTGCTTCTGGCTTGCCTCATCTCAAGGACTTTGGCTGTGCTTGAAGTGAACATGAACTAAAGTTGGGCTCCATTTGGAAGTACAGTAGCTGTTCTGACTTACCTCCATGGATAAATATTCCATACTCCGTTACTCTGAAATGCCAGGAATGAATGAGGTACTCTTGCTCTTTCTCTCTCTGGACTCTTTGCAGTTTATTTCAAAGAGGCATTGCACTGTATCTTGACTAAGCAGTTAATAATAGTCCGTGTGAATAACACGTGTAGACAAGATCTACAGTTATTTTTCTACCTAAAGTTTTGTAGTTAAATGATTTTCACAGATTTATGACGCAGTGTGAACACTGAGGTTGTGTGCAGTCGTGGCTTCCCCATCTCTGTAATGTCCTGTCTGTGTTTTCTAACAGTTGATGTCGAGCTCTCCCAAAGTTTTTCCCGTCGGTTTGGTCTCCAATCTCCAGACTGTTCCTACGATGCCGAGTGTGGCCATTCCCTGAGAGCCGTAAAACCGAGGCCGGGCAGGTGTGGAGGTGTTTGCTGTCAGTTTGGGTACCATAGTTAACTTTGTGCTGTATGTTCCTTTTGCAGTAGGGGTGCATGAGTTAGCAGTGTTCCTGTAGGATTTTAGCTGTGACCGGAACGTTTCCAGTCCCAAGTTTGTGTTGGTGACCATCTCTCCGTGTGTTTTACGGCGCCGGCCCCGGGAAGGCCCTTGGACATTGTGTGAGCTGGCACTTGATCCTTGGAAAGAAAGTTCCTCAAACCCTGGATGGCTGGCACTTAAGAGTACAGCCTGCCAAAGCTATTAATAGTTACAAAACTAATTTCTTTCTCTCCTTAAAGCTCCTCATTAAAGCTTTTCCATGTCTTCCCGTCATGTGGAGCTTTTTGTTCCGCCCTGTGAAGGCCACATTGTCTTTAATGGGCAGTTTAAAGTGAAATATTTGAAGTACTGTTAAAGGACACGTGTGGGAAGGACATGAAAGGGCTCGTGACCAGCTGAGTTGCAGTGTTAGAGCTACAGATTATCAAAAGCTGTGCAGAGAAGTAAGAAAAGGTTATTAAGATGGAAATAAAATGGAAATAAATCCCACTCATAGCATGACATCAGATTAATCAGTGAGTCACAGAGCTGAGCACTGAACTGGTTCTGATGTGTGGTGGCATTCACAGTGCATTCCAAACACTTTGGAACAAATCCATACAGGTAATAAAGTTAGACATGTTCCTTCCTTAAAGGTTGAAGTTGGTCTGGGGCTCGTGGTCGGGTTGTCCACTGAAGAATTAAATGTGACCTAAACTCTCAACAAATCCAAAATGTATTTTTATGTTGATTCAGAGAAGAGTTGTTGCATTATTTTGATACCTTCTGGATTATCTAAGTTACCAACATTTTAATCTTAGGTTTTGCTTCCCTTTTAGATCTAAAAATTTAACTGTGGTCTTGTCTTGTTAAGAAAATTGGTGCCTTTCCCTGATCTCTGCAGCTGCTATAAAAATGCAGCTTATGCAGAGTTCTGGATACCATTAAAGATTTGACTTGTGTGTGTGCATATTTCCAGTGCAGTTATCCTGAATGTGGGGGGGGGGGGTGAGAAAAAATTACAATGTACATCTGAGGAAGTTCTAGTTCTAATGCACACCCTGTAAATCAAAATATATGGATAAAAAGCATGAACCATCATATAAACATCTACATAACTTGTAATTATATGTAAACCAATGTTTTGTGCATATTTCTAATACAGATTTTACAAGAACCAGTTCTGTGTACTCCAGGTACATTGATAAATACGAATATTTGGGGGTGTTTTCTGTGTTTACATGAATTAATTGTCAGCTGCTGGAGACACCCCAAGTACTTGTTTCAGGCTGCCATGATGTGTTTGCTACTGTAACTGAAGCAGATTCTCTTCCAAAGCATTTTAGGTTAGTTGGTTTTGTTTTTTTTTTTTTTAAAAACTAGAATAATTTGGTGTGTGTTAATCTGATTGGTTTAAGTGAACTATTTTCCAATAAAGCTAATATTTATGCAAAAAACCACCAGCTTTAGAAACGCTCATCTCTCCAGGAAGGCTTTAGTTACTTCTGAGACTTTTTGGCACTGGAAAGGCAAGAAAACTTGAGCTCAAAGGGGGGGAAAATGAGGAAAAGATGCTGAAAATGATGCATGAAGAGGTTGCCTGAGGTAAGGGACTTGCCTCGGTGCTGTGATGAGGGGCCAGAGTGTCCCACAGTCCCTTCAGCACCAGATAAATGATTATTGCTGATCCAAGACTCCTGGGGTGCTGTTGGGATTTGCTGGAAGGTATGTCTAAACTTATTCCCTTTCTCCCCACTTCCTGGGTTTGCCTCCAAACTGAAATGCTGGAGATGGCTCTGGAAAAACTGGTTTGGGTCAGAAAATGAGGAAAAAAAGATGCCCCTCCCTTCAGCTGCCCATCAGGAAGGCACCTGCATTACGTTCTTGAGACTGAACTTACTTTTGGACTTTCAGCTTCAGGAGATCCTTCACTGTCCAATCCTGCAGATTAGGGTCAGCAGGATTCCCTTGGGAAAAGGCCTGGCCATTCCAGTGGAGGGATTCTCAGTGCACCTGAATTACCTAGAGCACACAAAATCCCAGAGTTCAGATGTCCAAACCTGCCCCCTGTGCTGCTGTTGGTCTCTGTGTGTTTCTCACTCCCTGTTTGTGCTGTCAGTGGGATTGAGGAGGAATATTTGGGAAGTTAAGAGTAGGAATAAAAACAACACGCTCAGATTTTTCACTTTTATTTGTAAGTTAAAAGCCAAACAGTACTTTTTCCTAAAAGATGCACTGGAATATCTCTTCCAGGTGCCCCATCAACATGTACCAAGTGGTCTGGGTTTTTTTTTGTTGTTGTGAACACATTTTAAATCTTAAGTCTTTTTAAATATTGCCTCAGCTTTTCCTGAGTCTTGAAGTTTATAGACTTTCATGGTCCCAATGTCCACCAGAAGCTGCCTGGACTCTCTGGTAAGGTGGTTCAGATGCTGGTGGCACTCTCGTGCTCAGAAATGCCTTTTCTGTACTTCCGTGATGCATTTTCAGCCTAATGCAGCTGAATTCTGAGTATATTCTCTACTATTTGGGCTAAATCAAACTAATTGAATTTGGCTTCTCGGGGTCTAGTTAAATGAGAAGCTTGTTAAAAAGCTGAAAATGCTAAGAGAGCAGTGGCAGTCAAGTGGCGAAACTTTAAAAGTGGGTTAACTCACATGTGGCTTCCAATGATTTCCAGCAGCATTCCAGCCTCGAGGGCACAGATATAACTGGACTCCATCTTTACGTTAAAGAAAAACAGGATTTTTAGTTCAGTGTTGGGATGTGAATTTTGGAAAGTGTACGTTCTCAAACTCTTAATCCAGCCCTAAATTTGGATTAAAGAATTTTAGTTTGGCCCATGTCTTTCATTTCTCCAAGTTATTCCTCTAGAGCAGTGCTGGCACTTTACCAGAGCAAATATTTCCAGATCCTTGAGGAGCAAGGGAAGGGAAGAGGCCTCCTGGGGATAAAACAACCTTGCTGGAATGGCACAGGGAGAGAAGAAAGGTCAGGAGAAAGCAAAGCACAGGAGGGCAGGAGGCTGATGATCACTCATCAGGCAGTTACAGTTCTTGCCTCCTGCAATTTAATCTCAGGTTAAAATCTCTAGTTAGAAAAAAAAGAAATTGTGTGCAGTAAAAGGAATTTTGCTTTCAATATTCCATTCTGAACAAAAGTAGGAGTGACTCAAGGTCACCCAATGCTCTTCTGTTGTGCTCCTTGAGCTTGGCATGTGACACCAGGCTCCAGAAGGCCCCTTCCTCCCTTCCTTCTGCTGACTCTGGTGCTGCTGCTCTCAGATCAAAGAGCTGATTTGTCAGGAAAACCGTCTTTTAAGGTGTTTCTGGCAGTTCACTTTGATTCTGTTGTTAAAGTTACTGCAGGGCCTGCACAAGGAAGAAAAAGCAGAAAGTCAGTTCAAATCAGATTATGCAGATTGTGGAATGAGGTTTTTCTATGATAACAAATGATCTGGACACAAAAGGTAAGGCAGCACAAAATCTACTAAAACTAACATATATGCACAACGTAAACCCCTCTGAGCCACCTTTTGATGGATCTCAAGCTTTGGAATTGCTCTAGAAGAGAAAGGTGGTCGCTACCTTAATTCAGGCATGAGCAGAACATGATAATTGTAATATTCTGGACTGCTCTTTTTTTTTTTTTTCATTATAGAAGCTTTCATGCTATCTGGAAGAGATCACACAACCAAAAAAGGCCCTACAGGCTCTGGTATACCTGTGTAATTTTAATAACTAAACCGGTTAGTTATTAACTAAATCTCCATAATAATAATAATCATTTATGTAACTAATTACTTTAATAACTAACTAGCTAGTGCTGGTTAGATTTCTCTCAGTAGAAAATACATTGTTCAGAAAAGACTATGACTATATAAGTTACAACCAATGAGAAAGATCAGTAAAAAGTTAAGGGAAGTTTTTATTTTGTTACTCAGTCTTCCTCTTGTCTCTTATTAGTACCCTTTGTTATTCTCAGAAATGTTTGAGAGACTTTTGTTTTCATTTGCATTAAGTAACAGATAAGGAGTCTGTGCCTCGTGGACACTCAATTTTCTATATTTGTTTAAATCAGTAAAAGGCAATTTAAGCAGGGAGTATTTAGGAATAGCTATCCTTGATAAACCTAACCTGGAAAGTATTTCAAAGACAAGTAAGCGACAAGAAGTCTAGATGACAGATCGTTCTAGTAAGTTCCTGACTTCTACAGTAGTTGTAGCTGTTGTTTACAGTAAATCGCCTCTTTATTTTTAAACAGCAGTGGAATTCTCTTAGTTTAACAAACTGATGCCTCAAGGGCTGTTAGGAGGAGAGAGTTCTGGAGTGGGAGGTTATATACTCAACCTCCACGGTGTTACCAGCCTGGATAAACACGCACATGGAATTAAACCCAGAACTGCATTTCTCCACTGCCATCTGGCTTATTTTAAATGGAAAAAATAGGACGGCTAGTGAAGAACTCAAACCAGTTTTGTTTTGGGTTTTTTTTTGTTTTCTTTCTTTCTTTCCTTCCCCCCTCATTTGGTGATTTTATTTTAACTTTCTCCCGAACTATATGGCATCTGCATTGCGGCTATTAATAGATTTGTTTTCTTAATCCTATGTACGAGTCAAATAGAAGGGTTGGGAGTAACACACGGACTCACCACTGGGTGGTACTACAGAAATAAAA